AAATCCTTATATAGGTCGGATTCTGGATCTTTTACCTTGTCAAACTCTAGCTCTTCTGGCAACCCAGTTACATTGTCTTTCCAAGCAGCAAGGCTAGCGTTGTACTTTTCAACAACTACTTTAGCAGAATTCGTCCTTTGTGTTATCTGCTTAGAAACTTTCTCTGCAATTGCTTGGCCGTCTATTAATCGATAAAAAAACACAAACGAATGAGTCATGTCAAACTTAGAGTGGGAATTCCCATTTTAAATTAAAGCTCATCATTACAAATGAAAGTAATGTCGATTCATAGGATACGGCACACCGTGAATAAACATGTTGAAAACTTAAAACAGTTTTACCATTGCAGTATTAGCATACGAACTTCAACTTCCATTATAACATATGACTACTAAAGGGGTCGTACGCGTCTACGCGACGCAAGCCTTTTTAATGTTTACATTATTTTGTTTTGCCTTCATTTTGAATAAAAGGCAGTTTATATTGAATCACTAGTCCGCTTAATTGATAATTATATGGTGCCAACCTAAACTAAACAACCAAGCATAATTCTTGGATCATCAAACGATCACAATTTGAGTTATAGCAAAAAAAAAATACCTGCATATTTTCGCTTCAAATTTAATAAGAACATACGTTCGACTGCAAGTGAGTATAATTTTTCTAATGCTTGGTTTCGCCTATCCCGAAGAACAGACAATGCTGCCACGTTGAATTTCTCCTCGCCCATTCTCCATCTTGGGTGAACCTTGTAGCTTTTTTCAATTCCCATGACAATTTTTAAAATCCTGAAGTTACATAAAGGTATATATGACTTTTAACACCAAAAACAATTCTATTCGGTCGCTAGTTCCAATACTTACGCTTTCTTCCTCTTTACAAGCTCGTTTATGGTTTCATGATTTTCAGCTTCTGTTGAAGCAATGCCTTGTCTGTAGCATACCATTATAAGTATTAGAAAATATTTTGTTAATTAAAAATAAATGAACAATCAGCCAGGAAATGCACAAAATATATCATTATCAGTCTAACCTCAGTTCCTGCAAGAAAACTAAGTTCTGTACGTATTTAGCCTCCCACGACATGGGCGATGGTTTTCTCTCTACAACATCAACAGTTTATGATAATATTACACATCTTGTTACAAATGAACACGGTATTTCCTTACGTTATAATTGGTACATACTGCCTCTCATTAACAACATATTCTCTTCTGCTTTCATCCAAGAGTTAATTACATCAGTACCATAGGAAACTGAAATTGAAAGACTTTTCTATTATAACGTAATTCGACCTATGACAGCACTATGATACTAACACTTACATTGAAATTTTCCGCATATACAAAAGCCTCATCCAATAACTGTTTAATACTATCAAATGTTAGATAAGATGTTCTACCTTTTAAATCTGAAAAGATCTCCTCCAACTGTACTACTGAGTTTTCCATTAGTTTCTTTGTTTTTTGCATTTTAGACAACAATGCCGGACCTGTGGGGAAAAATCAAGCATTGAATTACAAATATATAGTCGCAAAAAAATTACCAATACTGTAATGATATTGGTGGCATAAATCCACCAAGGCAGAAATATTCAACTAGCCAAACTGTAGAAGACGATGTCTTGCATGGTGAAGAAGCGCATCTGTTAATACGTCAACCCTTCGACCAGCTGTCATTTCCTTTGTCATTGATGAAAATCCTCTGAGGTAAGACCAAAGTCTTTCAATTCCTTCACCGTCAGTAAGGCCAAATCCCTCCTTTCTTCTAGGACCAAAAGCAACCTACATTTCGGGACAATTCTGAGATAAATAACAACATGCGACATACTGCATTACTGCACCTAAGAATGACAATTAAATTTTTGATAACAAAACCGACAACTTCTAAACCATATATTGACCTGGCAAGAAGATTTATGTCCATATGCATGGAAAACAGGAATTGCCAAGTCAATGCGTCCAAGAATGGTATGCTCTTCGTTTTTCTATCAAAAATAAAATATATATGCAAATGGATATTGAAATTCATATATAATAAATATTCAATACATGTAAAATTGCACATGAGATTACATCTCCAAATGACAGAACTTTACTTCTTCTTAGAATTTAAACTGTAATCAGGCAGCTATGCCTATACCTTACCTTTAGGTGGGCAGACAAAGTACATGCAATGTCATACATTATTTTAACATCAGTATCCTCATCATAATGACACAGAAGCTTTTTAACCTCATACACTGAATATGCTATCCTAAAATATACAGTATGTTGCACTAAATTACTATCAACATGTACACTTGCACTTTAATTTGATGACTGTTTGCTCACCTTTCTCCATGTTTGATACTCATAAATCCCCTTGGGTATTCATGTCTGCATACTCTACCAAACACTCCCTTCTCGTCAAAAAGCTTATTTCTTCCTTTGGATCGTAACATGTTACTAACCTCACCAGATTTAAATTCATTGCAATCCTAGGAAAAACAGTGGATTCTTCTATAATAATGATAATATTCAACAAAACTACTTTTTACAGTACAATCACCAGTAACCACTTACAGTAGGGGCTTGCTTTGCCTTCTTTGAGTTGTCATCAACAAAGCTATCGACATCATCCTGATTGGCAAAAAATGTACCATTGTGTCTGGCAGGTAAAAGATTCGCACCAGCAGACTTTTTTCTCACAAGCCCAAAACATCCATCCATGCACTCAATGGCAACATTCTTGTCAGTATCAGTTTCACTCTACAAAATTATCACAATATGTTAAATACAAAAAGGAGAATGTGACATAAAAGAAAAAATACCTGTGGAGTTCTATACCTGCAAAGGACATAACGGGCAAACATTGTCAGGTTTTTGTTGCAAGACAAATTGTTTCATTGTTTTGAACAAATGTTGGTGATATCTACATAAATAAAATATTATTGTTGGTATTGTAAATATATATATATATATATATATATATATATATATATATATATATATATATATATATATAGAATTGAAGTTTAAAATTTATCATAAAAAGTTGCAAAAACAATAAAATAAAATATTTGACAAGAACAGTACTGTGTCATGCAGTTAACCAAAATACGCCCCTACCTAAATTCATCAAAAGAATCATCATTCAATATTTTATAGAGATTCTTAACCTTAGAAAACCAAAAAAATATATAATGTATGAATAAATTTATTTATCTATGGTATATAATTAAAGTGTACCATATATGACATAACATTGATTATTTTATAACACAAAAGAAATCTTTAATATGTTTCACATGTATATATAACTTATTTTCTAGTTTCTCACTTCATTTCATGGTTTGCTAACGAGACATTCCAATTTGTGTGATATGTAAATAAGTGTATATTTGCACGTCCACTAATTATGAAATTTTAAACTTCGCTCGGAACATGAGTATCTGCACTCTGTAGACTTTATAGTTACTGTATACTAGTTAGCTGGCAACCAAACTAACATCATAATTAGTAGGCAAATATAATTTAATGTCTTATATATCAAACAAATTGAAATATCTCATTAAAGCTGGAATCAATAATATGTAATAAATTATAGTTATTTTCTTTATCTATTTAATGCCCATGGCATGACTCTAGTATTTTACTCTGGCTAACCCTATATGATTTTACTTGTCCAATGGAGATTCCAAGCATCAAAGTGTTAATAAAACAGTCAAGTTATTGTCATTTAGAGCATTTAGAGTTTATATAGTTAATCCCATGTCATTTTCACACAGATAAATATTACACAGTATATAATAATTTATACTTGGTATGCAGTATGCTATATTATTATTATATTTTAATCAAGAATTGTCTATTTAGAAAATATATAAACATAAAGTATTTGGAAAGGTTAGGTGTCAAGAATTTGTTCTGAATGATGTTGAAATAGCATGGAATTACTCAGCTTCAAATGTATAACAAAATAACATACCCAAACAGGAAGCATATTGGACTTATTGAGGCCCAACACATCACAAAATTTCTTTAACGATACATGGCATTCCAATAGAAGTGTCTCAGCAAGTGTAACCTGTTAATCCCAATGGTAGAACGAAACGATTAACTCTTAGCAATAACCAATGAGACAACACTTGGGTTGAACGGTGCGCAGACAAATCGAACTCGACAGAATTTGAGTATCGAGCAAGTAAAATATTATAACTTTAATCCAAACGTTCGTGGGGTTGATAGACGTGAATTGACACAGAATTGTGGCAATTGTTAATCGTGGAAATCGGTTCGAACTAAATAACATGACAATGCAAAAAATATCTATCTAGTACTTAATATTAACACAATAACTCATTGTTCGTGCAGTATCATAAAAAACATGCGACTATATGAATAGAAGTAAATCTATCGAATACACTATAAATTAAGTCTAAATCTGTACGTGGTAAATCATTTGACCAGTTCAGAATACCAAATTAAAACGCAAGCTACAAGTAACCTAACTAACAAACAATTGTACTAGTACTGAAGAAAGATCAATATGTACTTACTTTGGTTTCCACGCGCACCGACGTTGACTTTATTGCTTTTGTGTAGAACGTGAAACCGAAACAAGTACACAAACGAACGTGAATAGAAATTCTAAATTATACTAAATCCACCGACATAAATTTTGATGTCCTCTTACTAGGAGTAACACGTTGAATAGTGCCTTGATCTTCCTTGAGTCACGCAATTTTACTATTATCTACTGCCCGCAGGCATTTAATTTTACGAGCATGCTGATTGATATTAAGCGTTAGATAGCGTGGCGTCAAGGTGTTAGGACTAAACTTGCCTACAAGTAGGTGTTTCAAAACTAACATTCCGGCCCCTTAAAGGCGGAACCATGAGCAGCCTTTACCTATAGTTCTAACACATAAAGTTTTGAAACAAAACACAGATTATCTACTAGAGACAAACTGGACAATATTGATCTAATTGTGACTATTAGGTCCATGCATGTTAGGTCGCGGTCACACTAGCGCTTGTGCTTGAAGATTACCACCGGATTAGCGTGCTTGCGTGAACACCTTGCTAATCTCGTGTTGGAATGTAAGCCAAGCACCTCGCGGTCACACTCGAAAACGTATGCGTGCTTGCTCGTTGATGTTGACAGATAAATTATCTAATAATCTAAAGTCTATTAAAAATAATTTTGTAGATTTCATATAGGGTTTCAGTTTTAAATATTTGGCGCTCAAAATGGAGAACGAGTCCTTGCTATTGCTTTATTACCAACACCAAAGAAAGCGCGCTTCTGCTAGACGCAGATCGCTTGTTAGAAGGAGAAGACGGTTGTTTCTTGCATTGCGAGGAATCAACCAAAATATAATGTATTTTCAGTACGTCCGGACCATAACACTAGCAATAATGGCTATTGCTAGAATCGTAAGTCAAATAAATCAACGCCAATTTTGGGAGATTCCAAGACCACGACTGGGTTGGTTTGAGGTGATATTTGGAGACGAACGTCAATCCGGCTACTGGAAGCAGCATTTTCGTATGCGCAAAGAAACATTCTTACGACTGGTAGATTTTGTGACCCCAGAAATCGCCAAGGAAAACACCGTTTTTCGGGTGGCTATCCCGCCCCATAAGCGAGTCGCTATTGCGTTATGGCGACTGGCGGTTGGTTCAAGCTTTCGCGCTATCGCTGCTCATTTCGATGTTGGAAAGTCGACCTGTGTCACAATCACGAAGGAATTTTGCCAAGCGCTTAATCGCTTGTCAAGGCATTACATCAAATTTCCCGTCAGATGTGATGAAACTACGAGAGCGTTAGCGGTATTTCAAGATGATTGCAGGTTCCCGCAAGCAGTCGGAGCAATAGATGGTACCCATATTGAAATTATTGCACCGGAGGAGCCTTTCGACTATTTCGATAGACATCATCGCTATAGTGTTATATTGCAGGCAGTCGTAGGGCAAAACCTCACGTTTTTGGACACTGCAATTGGTTATCCAGGTAGCATGCATGATGCACGAGTTCTGCGCTCGAGTGATATTTTTCAGAAGGCACAGGATGGTGAGATTTTAACGGAACCACTTGCTAGAATCAACGGAGTTCAAGTTCGGCCTTTGCTGCTTGGTGATGGTGCATACCCTCTACTACCTTTGGTTAATGAAGCCTTACCCTAACGGTGCTAATCTTAATCGTTCACAACGCCGATTTAACAAGACTCTCTCTTCAGCTAGATCGACCGTTGAAAGGGCATTCGGAATCCTTAAGGCCAGATGGAGAATACTTTTGAAAAGGCTGGACAACCGGTTTGAAAACATTCCAGACGTAATATTGTCATGCTGCATATTACATAATTTTTGCCAAGAGGCTGGTGAGGAGTTTGACGACGAGGAGATTTTACGAAGAATTATTCGTGTAGACAGGGAATATTTAGAAACAAGGCGGCAAGAAAACATAGTTCATAATCCAACTGCTGAACGTATTCGCTTGTTAATCGAACAGAGTTTAACCTAAATATGTCCAAGTTATGCTACGACAATCGTAGTACCATGCGTGTAATTATATAATCTATGAATTTTGAATACAATATACAATAATATTTAATAATAATAATCTTTACGATAACTTGATAACTTTTCTAAAATTATTAGAATATAATCCATGTTCAAAATATATTGATCTTTATCAATTAAAAAATGTTTATGTTTTTTTAACAGTTCATCAAGTAGGCTATCATCTATCTTTTCATAATTTCAGCCATTCTTAAAAAAAACTCCTGATCTCTTCTTCGAGACTCCTCATCCAGCTTCCTCTGATCTGCTTCAAGCTTTATGAGAAGATCCTCGCTTCGCTTTTGAGCCTTCTCCATCATTTTCAACTGGGAGTTTTGCATCTCAACTAGCTTCTCAGTCAAGTCGATCATCGCACTTGCCGTGGTGATCCGACCTTTCTTAGCTTTTTTTTGGTCTTTCTTTGGCGCTTTTCGTTTGGGCCGCGGTCCAGCATTTAGAGAACTCTCCAATTCTGAATCACTCGCATCTCGCCTGTCGTACTCTTGGTCAGATTCTTCGGAATCATTGAATGACTGGTCTTGCGAAGATGAAGACGAGTCTCCAAATATGGCTTGCCCACTCTGGATTATCCCTGGCATTGTCACAACGGCCCGAGTACCGAGAACTTCGTCAAACGAGTCGAAGTATGGGCTGGTTTGGGGTGGCCTTCCAGTTGCTTTGTTATTTGTCTTTGCGTCTTTGTAAGCCTTTTTTAAGTTACGAAGCTTGTCCTTGCATTGTTTAGTCGTTTTTTTGCTCCCAGCCTTGTTCACTGCCTCTACAATTTTATTCCAAGCCTCAGTTGCTCTAGAACTTTCTACCTCCTCGATTCTTTCCTTCCACTCGCTTACCAACACACTCGTTTGCGCTTCGCCCCATTTCGATGACGATTTGGCGCCATTTCTATCGGTGTTTGCTGTTGATGAAGCGCCGTTTTCGTCAATATTTGTGGAATAACTCCGTATTCTGTTCTCGTTCGAGCAGGTCGAGGGGACATCGGAACTGTTACCAGGAGCAGACAGAGATTGTACGCGTTGCGGTGGGACAGGAGCTCGAGGAAAATATGGGTAGAATGGCGGTGGTTGTGGTTGGCGCCCAAATATCCAACTGGCTTCTGGCGTCGCACGAGCAAAAGCAGAATTGCTCTCCTGCCCATCAAAAGCGTTCGGAAACAAGAACGCAGCATCGTTTCTTTCATCGAATCTGTCTGGTGTCTGCGACATCCTTTTTTTAAAATTTTTCTTACTCAACTTTGCAGTGTTTGCGCTTCTCGCGAAGATAAAGACAAAATATTTCGAAACCACCGCGTTATGACATTTTTAAATTGCCTGTCTATTTCCCTCTTGAAACTGAAAATTTCATTGGCTAAATTATATAATCCATTTGAGATTCACATTCTAGCACGATTCAAACATACCCTGTAGTGTGTTTGGACCGTGCTTCGGCGCCTTTGAAATTTCAAGCAAACCGTATCAGATTTCAAGCGTGCTGCAATTTCGCGTTTTGCGCGGTCACACTACCAAGCGCGCTTGGAAGGTGACTTGTTGACAGATTCAAGTGGATTTAGTTCAAGCAAGCACGATTCTAGCGCTAGTGTGACCGCGACCTTATAGAGTCTACTTATCGTTCTGGTTGTCATCAGCTTCCTCCAACAACACAATCTTGTTCACCGGTCGTATGAGCTCACTCGTCCTTGTCTTCAACTTCACGGAGCGTACGAGACCATCGTTGAGGTTGGTATAAATTTCCAGAACTCGTCCAAGTGGCCAGAAGTTTCGTGGTGTCTTATCATCCAGGACCAGCACAATGTCATTGACTGCAAAGTTCCTGTGTCGTTTATTCCACTTCTGCCGAACCTGCAAAGTTGGAAGATATTCCCTGATCCAGCGGCGCCAGAATACGTCTGCTAAGTACTGTACTTGGCGCCATCTCCGACTGTATGCATCTTGCTTGGTGGTAGTTGTGGGGGGAAGTGTGGGCCCGGCTCTCAACAACAACAGGTGGTTAGGGGTCAGAGGTTCCATGTCGCGCGGGTCATCGGAGAGCTTGGTGATTGGTCGTCCATTTACGATTGCCTCGACTTCGCACATCAATGTATTAATGCCTTCGTCATCCAGGATTTGTTCTCTGGTCACAGCCTTGATCACCTTTCGTGTGGTTCTGATACACCTTTCCCAGACACCACCATGATGGGAACCAGTGGGAGGATTAAATGTCCACTTGACATTCTTTTGTAGAAGAAATTCGTTGATCTGTGATTGGTTCCATTTCTTCACAGCTTCACGTAGCTCTTTCTCTCCCTTTACAAAGTTTCCTCCGTTGTCCGATCGAATTTCGTCTGGTTGGCCTCTCCTCGAGATGAATCTACGCAGGGCATTGATAAAAGAACACGTGTCTAAAGAGCTTGAGACTTCAAGATGGATAGCACGGGTCGTCAAACACGTGAAGAGGACGCCATAGCGCTTCACTGTCACTCGTCCACGTCGCACTTCGAACGGGCCAAAACAGTCTACTCCGGTGTATGTAAAGGGGGGGTTGGAAGGTGTTGTTCGATCCTTCGGAAGATGAGCCATTTTCTGTTGACTCACAGGCGCTTGTCGTTTCTTGCATCCAATGCATCGGTTGAGCACCCGGCGTACCGTCTGTCTGCCGTTGATGATCCAATAACGCTGACGTATTAAAGACAAAGTATACTCTAAACCAGAATGCCCGGCAAGATTGTGATGATGATTCACGATCAACGTTACGACGTGGTGATTCTTCGGTAAAACAACTGGGTGCTTTGCTTGTTGACCAATCGGTGCTCGATCTAGGCGACCTCCAACGCATACGAGCCCATGTTTCAAGATTGGGTCGAGCTTGAAAATTTTGCTGCTCTTCTTTAGCGCCCTTGCGTCCTTCGGACTTGTTTCGCTGTTGACTTCGCGGAGAATCTTTCGTTCCTCCTCGAAACACTTCTTCTGTACGTGCCTTAGAATCACAGATTCAGCATTCCGTAGCTCCTCTACATCGATGGGAGTATATGTACCGTTGGAGTCGTTCGCTACTGGCTCCCCGGCCCTTCGTCTTTTGATCTGACGTTGCAAATTGGTCTTGTATCGAAGGATCCATGCCATGATTTTTCTGAGGTGATTCCAAGATGAAAAGCGTTCAATGATCGAATCGATAGGATTTTCATCGGATTCTTTGGCGACTGTCGAGCAAACAGAAGGCTTCTTCACTTCTAAATCTGTATCTTCAGCGTTATTGAAGTCGGCTGGTCTCGTTGGCCAGTTTTCGAATGGCTTTAAAAGGAACGTTGGACCATTAATCCATCGTTCGAGGGCATCCGGTTGAACTCCTCTCGACGCATCATCCGCGGGGTTGAGCTCTGTGTTCACATAGTGCCACTGAGACGGGGAAGACGAGTTGTGAATAGCAGCGACTCGGTTCGCTACAAATGTTTGGAATCGTTTGTCTTCGTTCTCGATATACCGTAACACGCACGTGCTGTCGGTCCAAAAGAAGGATTGATTGATATGCAGGCTGAGCTCTCGTCGGCACATTCCGTCTAATTTCGTCGCTACGACTGCAGCTGATAACTCCATTCTTGGGATAGTAAGTGGTTTGATCGGTGCAAGTCTGGACTTGCCCATCACGAAAGAACATTTTACCTTATTACCTTCGTCTTCGATTCTTAGGTACGATACAGCGCCGTAACCGTGTTGCGAGGCGTCTGCAAAATGGTGTAGTTGGATTGTTTTAATCTCTCCGTGATCTTGGGATTTAAAACAGCGGTCGACTACGAGTTGCTCTAACTTTGGCAGTTCTTCGAGCCACGATCGCCAGCGATTGAGATGTTCTTCGGGAATTTCTTCATCCCAACCTAGCTTCATGCGACAAAGGTCTTGAAGGATAAGTTTAGCTTGGAATACAAACGGGGCGGCGAACCCGAGTGGATCGTACACCGAGCTAATGATCGACAATATGCCTCTTCTCGAGGGAGGACGGTCCTTTATAACGATGCTGAAGCCAAACTGATCGGATGATATATTCCATTGCGTTCCCAGAGCTCGCTCGACAGACCAACAGTTGAAATCGAGGTTCTTGACGATAGATGCTCTTTCAGATTCGGGGATCGCTTCGACGACCCTTCTTGAATTCGACAGCCATTTCGTCAACTTGAAACCTCCTCGGGCCAGCAGCTCACGTAGTTGCTGTGACAGATTAACAGCTTCTTCTTCTTCGCTAACTGACTTAAGGCAATCGTCGACATAGAAGTTCCTTTCTACGGTTTCAATAACCTTAGGATCAAATTCAGCCTGGTTATCTTTGGCGGTCCTCTTGAGTGCAAAGTTGGCACAGCTTGGTGATGACGCTCCGCCGAAAAGATGCACTCGCATTTCATACTCCTCTGGGTCTTTGGAGAGATCGCCGTCGGGCCACCACAGAAACCTGAGGGCGTCGCAGTCACTTGAAGGAACGCGTACTTGATAGAACATGCCTCGATGTCCGCCATCATCGCCACCGGTTCTTCCCTGAACCTCGTTAACACGCCAACGAGCGTATTCGTAAGATCCGGCCCCTGTAACAGCTGGTCGTTCAACGAGGTGTCACGGTACTTGGCAGAGCAATCAAACACGACGCGAATCTTTTCGGGGTTTTGCGGGTGGAACACCGGGTGATGGGGAAGGTACCAGAATGATTTCAGCGGACCGATATCTTGTGTAGTAGCCTTTCTTGCATAGTCGTTCAAGAATAGATTGTCCATAAACTTCTTGTACTTTTCCAGAAGTGATGGATCTTGTTGAAGTCGCCTTTTAAGAGATCCTAGACGTCGTTGGGCTTGAGGCATATTATTAGGCAGGTAAGGTGGGAAATTTTTCCAAGGCATACCAATCTCGTAGTGTCCATTCACTAACTTTACTGACCCTTCCATTATGTTCAAAGCCCTTTTGTCATTCTGTGACATAGTCGATTCGAGTTCATGGTTCACGTCATTAAACTCCATATTACAAAACTCTTTGAAGCGCTGCTCCAGTGTGCTGTCTGCTTGAACGGGATTTGCTGTCGGGACGTCGACATCTTCTCTACCCAGCGGTCCATTCAGAACCCATCCGAATAGTGTTTTTGTGGCAAAAGGACCCCCATTCTCGCTCATCCGTACTTCTTCAGGCTGTAGCATCTCTGGAACGTCGCTACCGATAAGGAGGCCTATGTCAGCATCAATGTGTCGAATTGTTATGCCTTTTAGGTATGGCCATCGTTCGATATCTTCTTGCCTCCCAATGCATTCTGCGCGAATAGGCAGGCTCTTGGTTGAATAAACCTTAGGGAGATCGACATGATTTCGTTGATCCAGATCGAAAACATCCATTTCGACGAGAGAACATTCAACTGGGGCACCTTCGCCGAGCATCGTTGTCAGCGACAACTTCGCCTTTCTTCCTTCGTTGTTCAATGCCTTCAAAAGGCCTTCTGTACAAAAGGAGGTGTTTGAGCCAGAGTCCAAGAACGCGTAGGTTTCTACCATTTCGGTGCAACCTTTCACTCTAACTCGAACCGGAACTACAGCTAGACCCGTGACCGAGGACTTCTTCAACTGTTCCCTATTTGGAGATCTCCTTACGTAACCGTTGTTGGCAGAATTCGTTGATCCCTCAATTTCTTCCTTTGTAGCTTGATTTGAAAGGGGTTTTTTGTCTTCGTGATCATTAGGTGTAGACTTGGGATGTAGAAACGTTGAGTGTTTACCGGTGCATCCTTCTATCTTACAGAAACTCTCTTTAGGGCACGAGCGTACAAAATGTCCAGCGTTGAAGCAATTCAAACAAAGTCTCTTGTTCTTCACGAATTCCATTCGCTGATCAAGTGACATCTTCCTGAACTTTCCGCAACGAGCTAGCCAGTGGTTTTCATTGCAGGGACATATATTCTTGTATGTCCTGCCGTCTTGGTCTTTGCCACCCGCTTTCTGGTCTCCTTGGGTTGCAAAGCCGTTTGCTCTCTGTCATGCGTTCTCTTTCCCTTTGTTTCCTCTTGTCTTCCCTTGTTTTCGTTCACAATCTTCCCGAAGACTGGGTGGGTAGCTGCTCTTGCCTTAACCGTTACGAACTCTGTGACATCGTTTATCGTGGCATCTCGGCCTTGCTTAGCTACGATCCCATCGACAACATCCCGCCACTTCAGTCTCATTCCAAACGGCAAGCGGTTAATAATCTTTCGTAGGTTCTCGGGATGGTCCAGTTTCGTCAGGGAGCCGATTTCTTTCAAGGTATTGGTGCAACTTGTCAGTTGGATTGAAAACTGGAGAAGCCCATTTCCATCTTCAGCCTTGATTGGTGGTCCTTCTGTCAGTTTTCCTATATGCGCTGCAGCTATTCGAAAACTCTGTCCGTACCTTTCCTTGAGTAAACGTCTTGCTTCGTTGTAACCCTTCTCTGGTTCCATGGACAAACAACTCTTCATGAGTTCCTGGGCCGGCCCAGACGTGTACTGTACTAGGTAATAGAGGCGGGAGCTGGAACTTGGCGTTTTCGTTTCGACAAGATGTTCGAAACTTCGGATGAAGTCACAATATTCGATAGGATCTCCGTTAAAGATCTTCATGGTAGGTTGTGGTAATGTTAGCGCTGTTACACCTTGCATCTGTTGCTGAATCATCTGTTGAAGAACAACGTTCTGGCGGTCTTGGGTTTCCATTAGACGCTGGAACGAGTGATCATGAGGGAGCGCACTGGCTGGAGTCCACTCCGGAGTAGTCGGGTTTAGCTGCTGACTATTGAACGCTTCCCTTTGTCGTAGGCTATTCTCTGTAGCATGTGGTTTGAGAGATGCTGGTTTATTTGCGCGGACGTGTTGCTGAATCGACTTCGCCGCAACGTGACGCGAACGGGCAGATCGGTTGGAGTTAACATCACTAGCTTCAGATTGTTCATAGACATGTTTCTCTGCTTCCACGGCAGCTATTTCTGCTTGAAGTTCGACTTGGGATTTTTTCTGTTTTATTTTGAGCTCTTCCAATTGAAGTTCATGCAGTTTGTTAAGCGCATTCGCTTTCGCTTCAAGCGCGGCTTGTTTTGCGGCAGCTCTTGCCCTTGCGCTGGACGAACTCCTAACTGAGGTAGCGATTGATCGTGTTTGAAAACGCGACGACTTGTGTGATCCGGCAGTGGAAATAGAATCCTCTGGTTGAATTTGGTTTTGGCTTTCTTGCCCAAGTTGAATAGCCGGTTGTTCAAGCCACGATTGAATTTTCGTCCTATGCTCCGAAACGAGTTCGTTAACCGAATTAAAATACAATTTAGATTCCTCGACTTCATGCTCTTCTTTGAGCAAATTATGGTAAGCTTCATGCGCAACTTCGAAATGTTTTAAAACTTCATCTAGTTCCTTAGCAATTTCCTTTACAGAATCGACATTGTCGCATGATGTCAGTATCTCATTGACTTTATTAGCCTTTCGCGTTACGTTTCCTTTTGCAATACTTCTCGCCTTTTTTAATTGATCCATGATATGTTCAATATCCGAGTCCATTAAGACGCGTTGAGTGATTTTGACGTTTTAAATTAAGATAAAGTTCTCAGGAAATAACTGGCATTCCTTCTCAGTGCCCGGAGCACGAAACGAGAGGTAAATTCTTCAAATTCTTTCAGTGTGAAACAAATTCGAACTTAAATGTTAATCCCAATGGTAGAACGAAACGATTAACTCTTAGCAATAACCAATGAGACAACACTTGGGTTGAACGGTGCGCAGACAAATCGAACTCGACAGAATTTGAGTATCGAGCAAGTAAAATATTATAACTTTAATCCAAACGTTCGTGGGTTGATAGACGTGAATTGACACAGAATTGTGGCAATTGTTAATCGTGGAAATCGGTTCGAACTAAATAACATGACAATGCAAAAAATATCTATCTAGTACTTAATATTAACACAATAACTCATTGTTCGTGCAGTATCATAAAAAACATGCGACTATATGAATAGAAGTAAATCTATCGAATACACTATAAATTAAGTCTAAATCTGTACGTGGTAAATCATTTGACCAGTTCAGAATACCAAATTAAAACGCAAGCTACAAGTAACCTAACTAACAAACAATTGTACTAGTACTGAAGAAAGATCAATATGTACTTACTTTGGTTTCCACGCGCACCGACGTTGACTTTATTGCTTTTGTGTAGAACGTGAAACCGAAACAAGTACACAAACGAACGTGAATAGAAATTCTAAATTATACTAAATCCACCGACATAAATTTTGATGTCCTCTTACTAGGAGTAACACGTTGAATAGTGCCTTGATCTTCCTTGAGTCACGCAATTTTACTATTATCTACTGCCCGCAGGCATTTAATTTTACGAGCATGCTGATTGATATTAAGCGTTAGATAGCGTGGCGTCAAGGTGTTAGGACTAAACTTGCCTACAAGTAGGTGTTTCAAAACTAACATAACCAACTTAAAATGAAATGCAACCTGAGGTCTAACAGCTGATCCTGGCCATAATTGGAACTTTACAAGCTAAGTGTAACTGCAGCATCTTCACAGTTACAAAAGTTGATCCATTTCAAGTGTTGATGCCCTAATAAAAATGCACCAAAGGAGAAACTTACAGAACTTTTCTCACAATTATTTTAGGACTGAAAACAAACTTGAATACAGTTATCAAATCCACAGTACCAATAAACCCACCTTTTTCATCAATACAAATAATGTTTTGTGCTTGTGCAGTTGGACAATTTCTTTGGTGATCAAGAGTCAAAACACCATGATTAACAAATAAAGGAACAAAACAACCATCCTGAGAAAATAAGCAACATTAATTTTTAAACAGTTGGGTCTGGGGTAGGGTCAGTTCTGAATATGTAATATACATATAAAAGATATTGAAATATGTTATATTTTACGCCAAAAACATCACACGCACCTTGAAAATTTCAAGTAGGTGAAAGACGTTGCGTTGTTCGTGGATAGTTTTCGCGCAGTTGATGCAAAACAACTGTCTAGGACCACAATCCACGCAGCGACAAACAGCGAAGTTGTTATGGCACTCGATGCACATTATATTTCGTTCACAAAAAGCTTCTTCCTCAATGCGTGCTTGCAAAAGAGACCCCCTCACATCTTCCCAACTGTGATACTCTTTCACCCGGCGCAAGTGATATCGTGAAAGACTAGAAAAAGCTTGGTCATCACTTTCATGGCTGCTATTTATATCGTCGATATTTGAACCATCAACATGTTCTTCTTCCATTCCCGTTGTGAAAGACTTCTGCTTACTCGAACTTGACTCCTGAGAAATCTTGCAATAGTTCTTTGAATTTAAACGCACATGTCTTGTAGTTTTTTTTCCCTTTGTTGACTGCGTATTAACGCGAATTTTGCATGCCTTAAAACGCTTGCAAGAATCCGCCATTTTGGCGAACTTCTATTTAGAATTTATAATACGCAATAATAACAAATAGCTCGTTCCCAGTACAGCAAACAGCGAACGTACGTGTTAGATGGCTCAGATGATCATCCCATGTCACATATATCCGATGTTCTAAAACTTAGAATTCTCATTATATGTGATTTAGAACACGCGGAACGGGTGGTTAGTCTTAGTAATTGCATGATAAGATTGAGGTGCTTTAGAAAATTTTTTGGTGCATGTGATACGTATTCGTAATCTGTATAGCTTATTATTCCTTTAGTTTAAGATACAGTTATAGTAGTTTTAGCTGGTATATAATTGTAATTAGGAATGCATGAACTTAGTTTTATATATTCGTTATTTCAGTTTACGACAACTATAATCGACAACTTTAATGATTCTGGAGGAGTAAGGTTGTTACTTGGTCAAGACTATTAAATTTTTGCCTGTGAAATATGTTTCCCTGAATTTGTTTCTTCGAAATCTAAAACGCATCGTGATGTTAGCAAAATCGTCGTCGTTTCGAACAGCTTGTGCTGCGGCCGTTACAGTTTTGATGCGACTTTTTTTTATAATTCCTTAGTCACATAATGCTCTTAGCATGAAATTATAGCCCTTCATAAATGATTAGTCAATACACTATATTTTCTTCAATTCAAGAAAATTTCCAGGGCTCTCTTCGTCCAAAAAAAACTTTAAAGGACTTTTATTCTGCTGTGGATTAAAACAATAAATGATATTATTGAAGTTATATATTTTTATTTAACTTAGCTACATAGCTATATGTTTAAAATCAACATGCTTAAATTTTTAAACATTTATCACGGTATAATCTAAATGGTTAACTGAAATTGTTTAAATTCCTTTCATCTTTATAATAATCATCTTTTCCACCAAGGATTCAAACTAACTGCGGTAGTACGCCTCGCAGCGGCCTACAACGTCCTTGCAATACACCTTATCTTTCCCATTCTTTAAGTGCGATTTGACGCTCCGGATGTCGCATCCACCATCATCAGTAGTGCATAATGTATACTCACTCACACGTTTTTGAAGTGCAAAATCTCTGCGAAAATACATTATATAATATGTTTCTTAACTAGTTTATAAATGGCACTTGTCAAAGGCAATACATGCAGTAGTCCCCCGCTAACTCGAACTCCTCGATAATTCGAACAAGTTTTGTTTTCCCTTGGCCAAATATATCCGGTTAACTCGAACTTTGTCTTGGTTTCGCAGATCGTCAAGACTTAAAATGTGAGAACATAGCATTTCTATCGAAACAACAACAAACTTGCATTTCTATCGAAACAACAACAACAACTGATTCAGTGTACCACTGTCGTTACTGATCTAGCCTTTTTAGTTCCTTTTGTATTGTTTCGATCTTTTTAATTTTAAAACGTCGTCCAATTCATATTGGTAGGCATGAGTATCCCTTAATGATTCGA